ACGTTGAAAAAAACGATTTATTTAAGATCCTAAAACGTTACGAGTTTTAGGTTCTGAAAACGGTCCGTTTAGGAACTAAAAACGGTCCGTTTACGGCACGTTAACTTAGCGTTAACGACCAGTTAACGGTGCCGTTTTCTTGGACCTGGGTGCTACACTAAGTGGTTTAGGTTATAGTGGGATAATAAAGTTATTGGGTGCATTAAATTTACCACCACGGTGCGATGCGAAATGGTGTAAGTATCTCCAAGCTAAATCAATCGAAACTTTGTGAATTCCAAAACATCTATTCCACGAGCATGCTTAGATATGATACGACCGGTTTTCGATGAACTTTGTTCTCAAACTAGTTTAGCTCGTGCTGTGGGTGGTGGATCACAAAATGCTAACGAGGTCTACCATTCGTTATTATGGACTATAGTTCCAAAACACCGCTATTGTTCATCAACCACGCTTCGTATTGGATTGGGATTATCAACTATTATTTATAACGAAGGATACGAAGCATTGAATAAAATATTTAAGAGCATATTCTTGTCCGTGGGCTATTATTTCGCTGAATGTCTTCGTAGACTTGATGTTTTAACAAATTCTCGTACTTCGAAAACTAAAAACAAGCATTCAAAACGTGCAAAAACAACAACAACTGCTGCCGCAAGTACTGCTTCAACTGAAACTGATGATGCAATTACATATGTCCTAAACGAAGAAAACTTGGATTTCAGTGTAAACGATATTGCATTGGAACTCGATGGTATTTTGTTAGAACAATCGGATGATGATATCACTGATACATATGAAGCAGTTGGTGATGATTAATTACCGAGATATGATCACCGTTATCGCAGATTTGAAAAATACTAGTTACTTTATTACCATAACACTCATTAACCACATATTAGTTTTTTATTTCTGATTTCTAAGGTCAATTAGATGAGCTCGCTAATAAAATTTTGTCGTAATATGATCAGCTATAGTAAAATCAAAGTGTCTTTCATTATTTAAGATGATAAAAAGCATTATTACTCAATGAATAGTTATGAAATACACTTGTAAAAAGTATTTTGCGTTTTTCTCAAAATGAGATTTTTTACTTTTACGTTTTCGTGCATCCTAGATTTCTCCGCCATTTTGAAAGCTAGAAAGCTCAGGTTTGTTTTAAATCATAGCTAAAGTCTGACACTCCAACTTAACAGAGGCCGATTCTTCGATTTCAGAATTGAAGTCAGATGAAGGGAAAATGTTTGAGATCCTACACCTCAGTAATTTCATATCGTGACGTAAAAGTTTTGTAAAAATGAACTACAGAGAAATTAAAAAATCGGCCTCTGTTAAGTTGTAGCCCCACATCTTAGCTACATTTTAAAACCAACCCGAGCTCTCTAACGTTAAAAATGGCAGAGAAATCTGGGACGGATGAAGACCAAAGACAAGGAACCAATACCAATGAATGCGCAGTTGATCTATACTACTCGCAGCGTTAGTCATAACATGATCCCAGTTATTCCTCAAGGTAGACAGTTTGTAGGTGAGTTATTTATCAGGCAAGCATGCGCCTCTTGGAATCTTCTGCAAGATGACATCAAGTATACTCCTCGGGCTGATACTTTTAAACTTATATTGACGACTACTTTATTTCTTCGTTTAAACGACCACTAGTTTCTAAGCGTCGACTTGCAATTCACCATTAGAATTCACCCTGATCAGCTGCTTTTAAGAGATGCAACAATTAGACAACTGCCAGTTGAGCAATTAATTGAAGTCTTTTCAGAAATACTGCACTTTATCAAACGTACAAATCAATATATTGTTGAGACGATGATTAAAAAAAAATTCTTTACGGATAAGCAATGGAAGCAAAGATGTTAAATTTCTTTTTTCTGTTCGAATGGTACATTATTTCTTATAATGTTTTCTCCATATAGCTTAAACATCATTTTTCTTCCAAGTTTTCTTCTCATAACAGTTTCGATACAGAAGACAAAAAACTGTTTGCTTAACAACTCTTGCTTTTCGTATAAAAGTAAAAAGACGGTGTAACTAACGCTATAATGACTCATTGCGGCAATTTTACTCTTATGAGGCGACTCTCTCTATAATACAGGTATAAACTGTCTTTATTCTTGGTTAATATTTATTGCGAAACATTACTTTCAAGGTCATTTCTAGTTATCTGTCGCTTCTCTCTTGCTGTTTTTTCTCAACTCCGGCATCTCTAATGTGGGAAACGGTAGATCCGTCCATTTTTTCTTGATTATTGTTTCTTCTTGGCCTGTACTTGGGTGCACATATGTAAATTTCAGCGACTTGCATTGTAGAGCACACACTTCATCTATATCCGGCCGATCTGTGAATATTTGTGCTCCGCCTAATCGATCACGACATTGTGTGTTCCCGCATAAAATATTACCTAAATAAACTGTAGTTATAGCAGAAAACTAACCAGCTCAGATGAAAACGAACCGTTAACTTGAATTTCTTTGTAATGTTCAGGTTCTACTTTCAATTCAATTTCAACGCGATCAAGCAGTTTGGGTTTAACCACAAAGTGACACGTTTTTCGTTGCCTAAGCCAGCTAATCTGCCCCAAATAATACCCACAGGAACGACAGGATAGTGTTCCATTAGGGATAGCTCTCTTTGCAATTTCTTTCTCCTGATCCAATTCCACTTTCCAATTGTCGATGATTTTTTCCTGCAAAATAATTACCTGCAATCGAAGCACTTTGATGAAAAAGAGTTACCTGGACTATTTGTATATAATTTTTCAAGTGATTAGACGACAATTCCCGACATTTTTCAAGTGCTTGTTCCATCAGTGCTTCTTTCATACGATTTGTCATTTCTTGATAATAGTTCTTGGAACCTGAGCCGAAAAAAGTGGTATAGATGAGCGATCTGAAATATTTTATCGAATTACCTGCATCTGTCAATAGAAAATAAGAACTGTTTTCAGTACGCGCACGACCCCTTGCTTGTACAGTTCCAATTTCATTTGAAACAAATTCGTAGCGAATGACATAAGAACATTGAGGTACATCAAGACCTTCTTCTACAACGTTTGTCGAAACCATTACATTACATTGACCTAAATCTCTAAATTCTCAATTTCTACATCAGCTTATACTGCTTGTCTATTTACCGCTTCGAAATGTCTTTAGGGTTTCATCTTGTCCGTTTAATGTTTTCTGATAATCGACTCCAGTTTGTCCTACCAGCCAACATGGTCTCACAGTATCCTAATCCCATTTAATATGGCAACTTATTTTTCTGAACAGCTAGCTCCATTGCTTACTTTAGTGTCTTCACGTCTCGCTAGATAGTCAAATATTGTTTTGGCGTAAAATGTTCGTTGGACCAAAATTAAGCCTGTTACATAAATCATAAAGGAAAGAAATTGTACTGTGTATCAACCTGACCTACCTCTAGCATCGTTTCTTTCAAGTGTACGGTTTTTAATCAATTCAACCAGTCTATCCAACTTTGGATTAGTCAAATAGAATATACTGTCTTTTAATTGTTCCCTTAATTGGTTTAAGGATCTTTTACACAATTCATACCATTCCGTTTCGGTTTTTTTTGGTGTTTCCTTTTTCCTACAGCAATAGACAGTAATAGCTTATACTTTAAATTTCTCACTAACTTACTTATAAAATGTGTCCAGTCGATCAATTAATTCTGTAATCAACAATTGCAATGGTATATCAGTAATTGCATGATGACGTTTCGCCAACATAATCAAATATTTGGTTTTTATCAAATCTTCAAAGTCATTTTTTTTCTCAAGGTCAACTTTTATCTCGATCAGTTTCTGCTCATAGTCCTGTGAGTCTATGCTCAGATTTGCAACGTATTTTCCACCAATTTCTTGCGATAAAAATTTCATCATCTGTTTAAATTTTATTAATTGGTGATCGAATTCGATCGATTGAACAGTGATGATTTCATTGGTTTTTGGACGGTGTATGTTTAGTTCCAATTCATCTCGATTTTCTTGTTTCAATAATATGCATACACCATGACAATTCATCGTGGCACACAACTCATATAAATGTGCTACAGCGTGTTCACGTTGTACTGTTTTTGGTAGTTTTTTGTGTTCAATGAGTTGCTCAAAAAACTCCTTATCTGATCGAACTTTTGTACCGCATGACGCTGTTAAACCAAAGATTGTGGGCAGATGTAGACCTACATGTTTCAGTAAAGCAAATTTCATTATTTGAGTGTATGGATGATTGCCGACAGAATTATGACACTCGTCAAATATCAATAAATCAATTTCATTCAACGATATAGTCTCATCATTAAGACAATTGAGAAATTTTTGTGGTGTACAAATAATAACATCACACACTGACATGTAGTCATGAGCAGATGACTCATCATCGCACCCACCTACCCGTAAATTACCAATATTTCTGACTGCTGTCACCTGTTGTTCGCGAATGGCTCGATGGGGTACGAAGAAAAAGGCCAGAAATTTCCAGCAGTGTCCGGATTCTTTCAATTCCGGAACTTCTCTTTCCCCACGAGAATTTCTCTCTACCAGCCGGAATTTTCACAACAGATACGCTTTATTACATTATTATTCGAAGCTACACATCGGACTTCTTGAAATTCGAGAATTTCCTTTAAAAGGAGAACTTCCCCGAGAATATCTCTCTCAGTCAGCAAGAATTTCTCCACTGGCCGGCAGAAATATGTATCCCTACACGAGAATTTCTCTCTTAGCCGACAGGAACTTCTTTCGTAGCCGGCAAAAATGTGCGTCTGTACACGAGAATTTCTCTCTTAGCGAGCAGGAATTTCACTCCTAGCCGGCAAAAATATGCATCCTTACACGAGAATTTCCCTCCCCGCGAGCAGGAATTTCTCTCCTAGCCGGCAAAAATATGCATCCTTACACGAGAATTTCTCTCCTCTCACGAGAATTTCTCTCCTTACACGAGAATTTCTCTCTTCGCGAGCAGGAATTTCTCTCCTTCAACGAGAATTTCTCTCTTCGCGAGCAGGAATTTCTCTCCTTCAACGAGAATTTCTCTCTTCGCGAGCAGGAATTTCCCTCCTAGCCGGCAAAAATATGCATCCTTACACGAGAATTTCTCTCCTTCAACGAGAATTTCTCTCTTAGCGAGAAGGAATTTCTCCCCTACCCGGCAAAAATATGCGTGTGTATACGACAATTCCTCTCCTCTCACGAGAATTTCTGTCCTTCCACGAGAATTCCTCTCTTAGCCGACAGGAACTTCTTTCATAGCCGGCAAAAATTTCCGTCGGCATACGACAATTTCTCTCCTCTCACGAGAATTTCTCTTCTTCCACCAGAATTTCTCTCTTGGCCAGCAATAATTTCTCTCTTTGCACGAGAATTTCTCTCTTAGGCGACAGGAACTTCTTTCATAGCCGGCAAAAATATGCATCCTTACACGAGAATTTCTCTCCTTCCACGAGAATTTCTCCCTTGGCCAGCAGGAATTTCTCTCCTCCCACGACAGTTTCTCTCCTTCCTCGAGAATTTCTCCCTTGGCCAGCAGGAATTTCTCGCCTCCCACGAGAATTTCTCTCCTTCCACAAGAATTTCTCTCTTAGCGAGCTGTAATTTCTCTCCTAGCCGGCAAAAATATGGATCCTCACACGAGAACTTCTCTCCTTCCACGAGAATTTCTCTCTTCGCGAGCAGGAATTTCTCTCCTAGCCGGCAAAAATATGCATCCTTACACGAGAATTTCTCTCCTTCAACGAGAATTTTCTCCCTTAGCCAGCAGGAGTTTCTCTCCTTCCACGAGAATTTGTCTCTTGGCCACCAGGAATTTCTCTCC